AGCTTCAATTGGTCTTCATGGAAGATGAGAGCAAGGGTGAGCAACACTACATGTACTATGATTGGTGTTACAAATCCAGAGAATGATTGATTGCAATCAGTTCCGAGTGAGAGATTGTTAGTCTATGTGGAATCAGATTTTGTCAATCAATCATGTTGTTATGTTACATCGGGCCTAAAAAATTATCATGCTCATTGGGGGGTGCAGGGGGTCCTCCCTCTATTTGGTTCAGGAGCATTCACCAAAAAGTTTTTTTTTTACAATGCCTCGATGCTATGTACCCGAGTGCCCGACGCTGTGTAACCGAGCGCCCACCGCTGGAAAATAGAGAGTGGAGCGTCGCAGTGCTCTAGATTCAGCGTCGCAGCACTATATAGTGTCGCAGTGCTACGGGTTTGAGCACCACAGTGATCAAGAGCAGAGTTTCAAGCGCCACAGCCCTCCAAACGGACATCACAGTGCTCCAAAGTGGCGATGCAGTGCTGCGTGGTGGACTGAACAATTTTCTTTCTCATTTTTCTCAAGGGTTGCATCCCTTGGCGGTATTAACTTGTCTTTCTCTTATATTTTAAGTATGAGAATAGTGCATGTGAGAAGAGAAGCAAGGAGAGAGATATATATACTTATTTCTCCCACTTTGAATAGTGGATTTCTTAGTGTGGTGTGACTCCGTGGTTTTTCTCGATTTCGGATTTTTTCACGTTAAATCCTGGTGTCATTTACTTTCCACTACATTTCTAATTTTCTTGTTTGTTTCTCTTCGGTGTTTTACTTCCATCCCCAACATTTAACTCCTATATTATTCTATTGTTCATAGCTCTCTTTACATCACCATCATATTTTATTTTGGATGCTTATGTTTTGGCATTTGAGAAAGAATAATCCTATATAATTGTATTTTCTATTGAGACACTTTTGTTGGTTTAATCATTCACTCAATATCATATATATATCTTATAGTGTATATTAGTTTAATTGAGTATAAAGTTGTGTAGTTATAGTTTAATAATATATCAATACTACTATACGAACTTAACTGATTACACTTTAATGTATCACATCTTTGATCATTTCATGTATATATTTGTACATATAATTGTGTATCTAAATGGTACATTTAAATAGATGAAAAATAGAAGGTTAATAGGTGGAGTGGACATCAACTCTTTACCTAATAAACAATCAAATTTTAAAAAGGAGTAACAAGTCTTACAATTTTGTTAGAATGACCATAATTATTCAAAAATAAAAATAGATGCTTCTTGCTTATAGAGATAGCGAGCCACTCTATTATGAGGGATTTCTTTTCATATTTAATGGGTAACTCTCTCAGAGACTAAGCAAGTTGTCTGCTATTTTTTTTTTTCATTTGGCTCGTAGCTGTTATCAAAATTATTTAATTTTTAATACAAGAATCAACTCGCTTGGCTTATGGGTGAGTTGCCCAATGAATAATTCTTTAATAAAATGACTTGTAGCCATTAATCTTTCATCTATTAAATGTGTAAAGTATTTTCTAAATATTGTATACTTTTTAGATGCGTTGCTTCATTAGAACCACTAGTCGAAGCTAGGATAATAACATTGCATCTCATCTTGAAGAAATTGATTCAAGTAAAACGAGTTTGAAAAATTACCTAATTTAGAAATGGCTTGATTCAATTATCGGATTGAGGTGATAAAAGATGATATTATTATTATTACTAAATTTGTCCTCTTTTTGAACAAGTATGCCACATAATTGGGTGATCATCAAGCTCAATTAACGTGATTCAAATTTGTGCAATGCTATGATGTGATTTTTCTAGATATATTTATGGGTGTATATGAGATGAAGTCGAGCCAGGCTGGGTATTATCCTACTCAAGCTCATTAATTTATCTTCTTTGAATCCAAAATTGAATATGATTCTAACTTAATAATATTGTTTAAGCTTGCTTACCTTTTTATCATCTAGTAAACTTTTAGTGAGCATTTTATTGAATTCTAATTAAATGAGCTATTTATCAAAAAATTAATTGTTTATCAAATGGACCTTTGTTACTTTTTTATTTTAAAATTTTATTCAAATTTATTTGATTGCCTTATTAATTGAACCTAAATGAACTTCAAATCAATGAGTATTGAACTATTTGCAGACACCCTTCAAGTCGAAGATAAGCTAAGAAAATGTAGTAGGTCAATATTTGATAAGCCGAAGTGATAAGCGGTTAACACTGCTCTGCTTAGCCGCCAGCTACACGACATTCCAGCATATTCTCTGTTTTATAGAATCCCTTTTTCAGAGTAAATCAGTGTCGTTGCTGTCTAACTAACTCTCATCTCACCGTTAGACTATTCCATTGTCTTATATATATATATATATCCTGTAGAAGAAAGTAGGTTAATGAGAAAACCTTATTCTGCATTTACATCTCCTAATCTTTTTATTGCTTGGCCTCCTAACCATTTACTGTAGCTTGCGCTGGCTTTAGCTCTTCATGGTATCAGAGCAGGTACTTGGATCCTAGTTCTCCATCTTCTTCACAAAATGTACTTGGTTGTAAGTGGATTTTCAAAACCAAATATAATGTCAATGGTTCAATTGTTAGACATAAGGCTAGATTGGTTGCTCAAGGATTTAAACAAGAATATGGTTTAGATTACTTTGAGACTTTCAACCCAGTTGCTAAGTTTCCTATCATAAGGATTCTTCTCACCGTTCCCATCACCCACATATGGAAAGTACTTCAATTAGATGTATCAAATAATTTCTTACATGATGATCTCAAGGATACGGTTTATATGGCACAACCAACTGGGTTTGTAGATCCCATTCATTTAGATTATGTTTGTCTCCTCAAAAAGTCTATCTATGGACTCAAACAATCACCTCAGCAATGATTTGCCACTTTTTCTGCTCATCTATAGAATTTTGTTTTTAAGACAAGCACTGCTGATCCATCCATGTTAGTTTATCAGAAGATCTTAAGGTTCTTTATATTTTAATTTATGTGGATGACATTTTGTTAGCTGGCAATGATGATCAACCCATTCATCATTTATTAGCTGATCTTCACAAGCGATTCCAGTTAAAAAATCCTGGATCAATTTATCATTTTCTTGGCATCACTGTTACAAACACTTCCAATGGTTTTACATTTAAGTCAAGAATTATATGCTACCAATTTATTGATCTGATCAGGTATGCAGGACTGCAAGCTGCTTGCTTCCCCTATGGCTCTCAAACTTATTCCATCTGCTGAAAGTAATGAGCTCAATGCCAATCCAGATTTTTACAAACATATTGTAGGATCCTTACAGTATTTGACTCACACAAGGCCTGACATTTCTGTTAACCTCAGAATAATAAAACAAAAAAATCTCGCGTACAAACTTTGCACCCGGCGGATCCGTGAAATTCGCCTGAAATCCTGCCGAAATCCCGCTGCAAACGGCGCCGCTCTATTGGGAGGGGTAATTAACTATAGGGGCTTGCGCCTATAGGAAACCAGAACTCAGATCATAAAGTCCTCACAAAATGAGGGCGAAATCTCTGGGTAGTGTCTTATCTACAAACCCATCTGCCTTCCAAAATTTACCCCGGAACTTAGTTCGTTAAAACTCTCTCGCCGAATAAGAAAAGCGAGTGGAGGTCGAGGCCGAATTTTCGGAGCCCACAATTTCCTATACAATAAATAAATTATGTCAATTTATGCACAAGCCTTTAAATGCTCACTTTTGCTTGCTTAAAAGACTACTTCGATACATTAAAGCTGCTTTGGCTTTCGACATGCTCATCCAACCGAGTTCTCTACAACTGCGAGCCTTCTCTGATTCTGATTGGCCGGCGACACTACCGATAGGAAATCAACAACATGCAATTGTGCTTTTCTTGGAAGTAATCTCATATCTTCGTTAAGAAACAAAAGACAATAGCTCGTTCTTTCACGGAGGCCAAATATCGTTCACTTACTAAAGCTGCTGCGGCTTTGGTTGAGACAACTACTTCAAGAATTTTCCATCAACATTAATTCTCCGACTACTTTGTTTTGTGACAATATCTCAACCATTGTGCTTACTAATAATCCCGTTTTTCATGCTTGGACAAAGCATATTGAGATCGATTTTCACTTTATTCGGGATTGTGTTCACAATCAAATGATCTCTATTCATCATATCAATTCTATTGATCAGTTGGCTAATGTCTTCACTAAAATGTTGCCCATTAAACGATTCAAAGATCTTTGTTACAAGCTAACACTCATGGACAAGAGTGTCATCTTGAGGAGGGATGATAAGCCAAAGAGTGTCATCTTGAGGAGGGATGATAAGCCAAAGTGATAAGCTGTTAACACTGCTCTGCTTTAGCCGCCTGCTACACTACATTCCAGCATATTCTCTGTTTTGCAGAATCCCTTTTTCAGAGTCAATCAATGTTGTTGCTATCTAACTAACTCTCATCTCACCGTTAGACTATTCCCTTATTATTATATATATATATATATATATATATATAATGTATCCTGTAGAAGAAAGTAGGTTAAGAAAACCTTATTATGTATTTAAATCTCCTGCTCTGTTTTACTGCTTGGCTTCCTAACCATTTACTGCAGCTTGCGGTGACTTTATCTCTTCAATATTAACATGGATAGAAGCTATTTTAAAAAAAAATGTTTGAAATAGATTTAACGCATAGTTAAGAATGAAAATTCAAAAAGAAGACCACAATATTGCAGGTAGAGATAAATTAAGCTAGGATATTCTGATCACAAATTGGCCACGATGGATTTTAAAACTCTTGAGAATTTCTTTGAAAAGAACGTAATACATGGATAATCAATAATTGTTTGTATTGCACTTATCAAAAAGCAAATACAAAAGTTTTAAAACCATCCTCAAAAAATTCTGCTCAAATATACTCACCAAAATTTGTCTGCAGGTGTAGTTGCTCATTTTTAGCATCTTTGTCTAGGTTATGCAGCAGAATATTATTCGAAAGAGGATTCAAAATTAAATACCTTTGATGATTCCAAGGAGCAGAAGAAGGAAGAAGAAAGGAAGGAATGATATAAAGCTCCATAGCCTGGCTAAGAAGCCAATGGGAGCCTTCATGCCCAAAGCAAACACTACCGCGTGCTTTCTTTAAGGAGAAGAAGGTAGGAGAAAGAGGAGGACACAGCGGCGGATTAGAGAAATCGAATGGGTCATGTGGGGAAGAAAGATGCAAGAGACTGGGCGAGCGAACGGAGGAGTCGGAAATTTGAACATAAAGGGAAAGGCACCACGTGGCAGAAATGCCTGATACGTGTCTGCGCATTGGCTCGGTTGGCACCGTTAGGTGAGCTCATTCGAATTTTATATACTGCAATCGGTTAAAAAAATTTCCTTACATGACATTCTTCAAATCCCGTCAAAAAATTAGTTGTACCGAACAAATACCAAGCAATACCAAACAATAACGAGGAATATCATCATTTGAAGACCCAATACCAAGTTATACCGACCTAAACTGAGAAATACCGAGTTATACAAAAGTTGTACCAAAAAAAAACTCTGTACAACTCGGTATTTCTCAATACAGCTAGGTATAACTCGGTATTGGTCTTCAAAGAACGGTATTCCTCGTTAATATCAAATAATACGTAGTTGTATCAATCAAATACCGAGTTTTTTGGTGGGATTTTGCCTCCAACCGACGTTCCTCTACGTCCTTACACCGGACATAATAAAAGTTCCATTCTTAGGGGCAGTTTGGTAGCATCCAGTATTTCATTTAATTAGTATTTTATAAATTTTTTAAATCCGAATTTATGAAATTGTAAGGGGGTTGAATACCAAAAACTATTTGATAACATTTATGATAAAACTTGTTAAATCATATGTGACTGCTTGGCTATTCTACTCAGGATTTAAGGAGGTTGAAAATTTTGAGCAGAGTTTCTTCTTTCCCTCGCCAATAGAGCCAGAGGATTTCGTAAATCTGGCAAAAAACAGGATTACAAAAATCCAGGACTTAGCATGAAAAGATGGAATTTTTCGTCTACAGCGGCTTTCATTTGCCGTGAGATTTGGTTTTGCATTTAGGTCGTTTGACTAGATTTCGCTCAATTCACCACAAATCCGGCCTAAATCCTACTACCAAACAGCCCCTTAGAGTCTTCGATTCTCATTCACAAGCTTTATTTAAGGCAGCTTTTGCTTGTAACTTTTTTATTACTTCCAAAAAAAATTATTATAGAAAATTGTTTTATAAAACAATAAGAAATTTGTCTCAAATAGTCAAATGATTCTTAAAGACAAAATTCTATTGTAATATTTTTCAAATTGATCTCCATCTCCATCTTTTAACTATTCATAGATTGTCTTTGAAGGTTAGAAATCAAAGTCATACATTAATAGCAAAAATTCTAAACTTAGAAGAATTTTTTATATGAGATTATTAGCTGAGCATTACTCAGAATTTATTTCAATTGTGATCAATACATGTTGAACACATGATTGAATATGCTTCAAAGCTTACTCAAAAAAGGTTTGTATTTTAGAACCATGATTGAATAATAGCTGAAGAAGCTTTGATCATCTGTTGAATATGATTTGATCAAGATGAAAACAAGTTTTAAACAATATTCAAAGGAGTTTCAATCAAGTTTTGAACAATGGTCTAATGTTTCATTTTTATTTGATAAATCTTTGAACAATGTATGAATTTACTGTTTGTACGCTCATTAGAATTGTCTTGCTATATATACGAGTCACATATAGAAACCATGAGGTGATGGAGAAAATTGTTTGGTAATTTAAACCATTTAAGGCCAATAACACCATTATGTTGAATATGAGAGTTTTGTACACAACATCTGAATACCAAAATGTCTACTTTTGTACCTACAAAGAGGCTATTGATTGTGTATGCACTGCTTTAAGTGGATGCGTTATTGTTTTTATTGGATATGCTATTAAAGAACAGTGCAAGGCTTCATTGTTTGAATTTACCTATTCAAATTAAAAATGCACATACGTTTTCATAATAAAATAATGTTAATCCTACTAATCTTTAAGAGAATATATATTTATTTATTTATTTATTTATGCAATCAGATTTTAATTATTTATAATTGATATGTTGTCAAAAATCAATTTGATCGAGCACGAATATTAATGCATATTTGAATTGGGAACTTTTTTGGAATTATATTTGGGATCATATGAACTCCGATTTAAACAAATTTAGAGTCAAACTAAGCCTCTCAACGAAACAAATCAAATGACAGAAGAATTGGTCAAATCCGAGACCTAGTGGGCCTAAAGAATATTTCAAATCTTCAAACATTAATTGTGAGATTAAATGATCTCCTTCACCCGACTACGATCCCTCCACTCCTTTGCCCTACTACAGTCCCTCCAACCTCTATCACCCAACTATGATCCCTCCAACCTCTATCACCCAACTATGATTAGTAAATTTAGGATTTGTGATAAATAGAGGGAAATGGAGGCTTTAATTAGCTATAAAATTTACTGGTTCCAAAAATTCTGTTTGAATCTTGCAACCCAACGACCAAATTAGCACAAATTATGTTCAAATTAGCTTAATCCTGATTAAATTCGAATCAAATCTTATTTTTCTTAATATAATTATACTTAATTATATTTTTTATAATTAGTTAATATTATTTACAATTAATAGTAATTACTACTATTATTATTAATTAATTATGATCAATTATCATTAATTATAATTAATTATTTAATCATAATTAATAATTTTTTAATTATAATTAAATATAATTTAATAATTAGTTAATCTTAATTATAATTAATTGTGATTAATTATTTTTATAAGAATTAATTATTATTAATCATAATTCATTATTTTAATTATAATTAATTTATTTAAATTATAATTTTAATAATTAGTTAATGTTAATTATAATTAATTTCTATTAAGTATGATTTATTTAAAAAAAGAAAAGAAAAAAAAGAGACTATTGCACTTACCTCGATTCATGAGCCAACACTATCAACATAGTCATCGATGACTCTTGTGCATTCGACACAATCGTTGATGACTCCTGTGCATGTATAATGTTCCAAATCCCATCCTAGGTGTGTGTGATGTACCGGTGGACCCCATATACACATTGTTGTAGCACGGTGGGGGAGAATCCAGTGCCACACATGTGACGAGGCGGGTAGGCCCTATACACACTCTTCTTGCGTGGTGGGGATAACCTTAAGTACCCGTACGTGCCTAAGTGCTTATGGGGAAAGGAAATTATGCATTTTAAACATATGCATTGGAGACCCCATACACGCTCTTATAATGTGATGAAATTGAAGAATATGGCCATGATGTATCAGGACACCTAAAATACGAGCTCTTGTAGCATGGTGGGAAGGCCTAGCTTCCTATATTTCCCCTAAATGAGGGATATGCCAAGATGCTTATGAATTTTACAATAAACAGAGGACCAGTAGTTGAGCACAAATGCATAACTTAAATAAATGCACAGGAAACTTGAATGAAAAGTAGGAAACCAGACTCAAACTTAATAGATAGGCACAAAGACCCCATTCATGCTCATATAGCATGATGGGATTGAAGACTACAATCGTGGCGTCTCAGGACACTTTCCATACATGCTCTAGTGTCATGGTGGGAAGGCCCAGCTTCCTATATTCCCCCCAAATAGGGGATATGTCTAGATGCTGCCAAAATTTATAGCAAACAGAGGACTTGTATTTGAATACAAGTACAATAAACCTGGGCAATATACATAGAACCTGTATAAAGAGCATGAGATCAAATTAAAATAATAAAGGGCCTGCACTTGAACTAAAATGCATAGAACATGAGCAATATGGATTATGACTTGAACTGAACTATAAGAAATTGAACTCTAAATCCAAAAATGCATAATCAAAATCAAAGTACAAATGTAAAATAAAAATTTAATTCATTCAAATGAGTACATGCAAATAAACATGGGACTAATGGTGGAGGACTTTCAAATGTGATTGACTTAGACATCAGTGAACTATGAAATGTATAACTACTTTCTACATGTACTTATGTAAGAAACAGTCCACCTATGGATTGAAATGGTGACACTATCAATTGACAAACAAGACCTCGATGCATACAGATAATGAATGTTAATCAATTCATAACAATTATAAAACAAATATTAACCATCAATGTTTGAATGCATGTCACACAATGAATGATGTTGTTTGATAAATGATAGATGTAGTGGACTCTTATAATATTCCCTACGAGGCTGAAAGCACTACACTTACAAGCAATAATAGATGGTTGCATAATGCACCGTCTTCTTACATATACACGAATATAATCCACAATACAAGACTCATCATGTAGATTGGGATTACCACATTAACAATTGATGAAATAATGACCTATTATGCAAACAAAAGTCATCCGATAGATTGAAATGGAGGCACCTAAAATTAACAATGAAAACATATCATGCATTCAATAAATCATATCAAGACAATAAGAACCGAATAAAATAATGCCTTTTAGATGACACCAACACCTTGTTGCAGAATGCTCTGAATACATCTATCAGGGAATTTGTGAAATAATGATTGATATGTAAGCCAGTATCAACAGTCTATTGTAAAAGTGAACACCTGCAAGCAACTATAGAAAGTTTGTCAAGCTATAGTGGTATATCTATGAACAATAACGAGCAACTTGCAAGAGGTTTCAGGCCACCTTTGTAGTTGACAATGATAAGAGGACGAATAAGTGTGTTGATCTCCTACAAGAAAGGACAGTTTATATGATACTTTTGGATAACAACAATGGGTATATCGCAAGTACAATGAATCCAATGTGGAAACAAGTACATACGATACCTACCAACAATTGTTAGAGATTTGTACTAGTAATCAATAACATGCACCAGTCGGTGTCAGTACGTGGATGAATATATGAATCTTGCTATAATAAAGTAACTAATTACCATTGATGAATGCATATAACATTTCCCTTACATATATCTACAACAGCGGTGATTGAGAAGCTGCAAGCCTGATCGGCCCCGTACAAGTGTAGAAGTGCATTTACCTCATCGAGGCTGAAAGCTTTATTGATCAAGTGTAATTAAAAGCCCTCTAGGTAATGACTTTAAAGAGCCTAATGCTAGGATATGAAAGCAACTCAGTGCATGGAGAAAACTAATCGATAC